AATTTTTTTGTGAGTGACATGCCTTATAAATATAGAGAAGATCGAGTGCATGATGGGAGTGGTTTTAATGGACAGATGATATTGATCCCCTTGATCGTAGACCGCTTATTGGTTATTTGAATGCCTTAATGATATCATAATTTGATGATCTTGGGCTCGTTGATTTGTCCCATTGAGCTGCTCGATTCAACTATAAGTATGTCATATTCGACGATCATTTGATTATTCAATTAATGTTTTGAAGCTTCCTAATATGCTTCATATATATATATATATATATATATGGAGATGAGATGGAGAGAGAGAGACTACTATTCATTTTGAAGGAACCTTTCCACATATATCAAAAAATTTAAACGACTAGCATTTAAAATGGTTAAAGGACAAACTTCAATTTTTTTTTTTTGTATCAGCGATGACTTTTAGCTCCTCTAAATCTTAGTTTTTTTTTTTATTATTATTGAACAACTAAAGATATGGACGTCAAATTACTCCAGTTGTCATTGACTTCACTATCCTTCCTCAGGGCTTAGATTTGAAGCCATATATTTGTTGACTTCATGTTTAACTTTTGCAATAGAGAAAAACAAAACAAAAATAAATTGGTTGAATATTTTGAAGGATGAATGATCCGAAGCTTTCAAATAAAATATTAATCTCTCTCTCTCTCTCTCTCTCTCTCTCTCTCTCTCTCTCTCTCTCTCTCAGGCTTGTGCTAGCTTGCTTTGTGGTGGGATGAGAGTAGCTAATGTTGGTTGTTGAATTAGGGTAGTATTAGGATCAATTTCTATGATGGAGTTGGGAGAGGTGATTGTGAAGCTTGCATTTTTGGTGGAGAAGAAGTGGAAGTTGGAGTTATGATAAGTAGTGAAGTCAGATGTCCAATTGAAGTTGGAAGTTCAAGGACTTAGGAGGGAAAAGAGTTTCAATGAACATGACATGTCTTGCTATGAATATCTCCCCTTTCTTGAGATTATAGCAATGATACCTTTGTGGATAGACAAATAACCTAAAAATAGATGGAGCAAGGAGAGAGGAGCTAATTTATGTTGAAATAAAGGTTGTTTCCAAGGAAAACAGGAAAATTCAAACATGAGTAGGTCGAATTTTTTGTTGATAAGTGAATTGGGAGACTTCATGTCTATAGTTTTGGAGGAAAGGAGATTAATGAGGTTGGTGACAAGTAAGGAGGAAATCAACTAGAATTTGAAGGGAAGATTGGTTAGGAGAGGGCATAAATCATTTCTAGGAGATGATGATATTTTGTTTGTGTCATGCTATTTTTTTTCATGTGTGTATAAAAAATGAAAGTTATGGGAGATCTTGTGACTTGTATGGTGGTTGTGGAGAGCAATATTGTTATATTTTCTCCACCGTCTATTCAAAGATATTTTATGGAAGTATTAAATTGATTTTCCACCATTAATTTAAATTTTAATGAATATTTGAATTATTTATAATTTTTTTAGCATTGGATACTACAGGAAAATCTCTTTTTTCCGGCGGATTTTCCGGCGGAATATTTGATAGTTTTCAGCGGATTTTTAAAGTTTCCGACGGATTTCCGGCGAAATTTTGTTCTCCGGAAGAGCGTCGGAAACTTTTTCCATCGTAATAAATCAGCCGGATAGATCACATACATCAAAATGTATCATTTATAATGGCGTATAAGTATAAATGCTTTTGATAATGAGAAATTTGTGGCTCTTAGTGGAGCTGCATGCATTGTATAAAGGAAAAGTGGATATATATATATATATATATATATGTTTGCTTGTGAGATGACAATGATGGTGCGATAATGAGGATTGTGAAGACATTGCTGCCATGGAATTATGGTGGACTTGGATTGCAGCATAATGATGATATGAGTTTGTTTAATTTCCCCTATAATTGTGGTCATGAAGAATAACTTGCTTGATCATTCGGTCTTGGATTCAAAAACTAGTAGTCTCAAAAGTTATGAAACCATTATTATTGCTAGCAAATTTTTTAGATAGATAAGAGGTTGTGGGATAATCTTGGAACCTGAATTAAGTTAGCTAGAGAGGAGGAGCTTATATGCCAACCAGGTTGGGACATATGTCGCAACCTACATGGGATATAGGGATGGAACTACCATTCCACAAAGTGAACTCAGTGCCAATGTATGGTATTATTTGGTGTAGTTGATCAAGAGTGGAAATTAAGTGAGATAACACCTCAAAGTTTAAGAACCATGCATTCTAGTGAGAGCTAAGCCAAAGAAAGCAATGCTTGTTGATTTGATTATTTGAAGGGAGGTCTGCAAGTGAGTTTGAGTAGTGCTAGTAATCAGCAATGGAGTGGCCGGTCTCCTTTCCAAGGTATTTGAAAAATTATTTGGAAAACTCCCCTTACACAATTGGGTCCAATTCCCTACTGGTAAGGTCTAAGGTGGTCATGCCACATCTTTGAAAAGAGTGATGGGCTCCTTGTCTGCAGTGGTGTATAGACCAAGTTGTAGATTGGTGATAGAGAGCTCTTTCATAGAGTCCTTGATTTCCTATTTGCAGAGTAAGGATTATAGATCATCTAAGATTACTCATTAAATCATAGTTCAAATTATTAACTTGAAGGCTTGATACTCTAATGAGAGATTATTGAGGATATATAAAATGATATCCTTATTGTCTATATTTGATCCTACTACAGCAATGATGTTAGTGAGTGACTTATCATCTATAATATAATGTTTCATTATTTACTTTTTTATGATGATGCGATGGAGCCCATTTTTTAGCTGAATCATTCTAGATCAATTGGTAAATTGCATACATTTTTCAAAGGTTTTTCATATGATGGAGATGCTCCATTGGTGAGCAAGTGAATTTGTTATGTTAAGCTAAGTGGATCTGTTATCATATTGATGCAATAACAGAAGATTAAGAAACAAAGGAAGATGGCATGAGATAAGTATTGCTAATGTATTTCATAGAAAGGTACACTAATACACATACAATTATTGTACTACCATTTTATAATAGTATAACAGGTTGTTAAATAATTATTAAGTAAATTTGAATTCTCCGTCACGTAACATCCAACATTCAAATGAAATAAAAAAAAAAAAACTTTCATTTCCACCAAACAAGTACTTTGTTAGACCATCTCTAGCCGTTCGGCAAACAACCGAATGGAGGCCCTCAAAAGTCACAATCGAACGCCTTTTCTTTCAGCATTTGTTTGTTGATGAGCAGTCGCACTGTTCACCCGCTAAATTTTTATGTGTCAACGGGATTTACCATCGAAATGGGAATGACGGTTACGACGAGCTGGGAAGCCCGCAAATTGGAGTTCGATTGGAGTAGAATTACCGCATTTTGAAATTTTACCGTGAAAAATGAGGTTTTTCATTGGAGATGCCCTTATGCATATCATATTCTTTATCTATTATTTGTATGCTTTAGTTTTCTACTTCAAAAAGTTATAACATATATGTGATTTTTCCATGCAAGCATCCTATTTAAATGAAATAAATTTGACTAAAGATGTTATTTCTTCTTTCTCTCCCTCTATAATTGTCTCATCCTCCTAATCTCCTCACTTGCCTTCTCTCTTTCTACTCACACATCATTTTGTATTATAAAACATAGAGTTCCCACTCAATTAATATTGCACAAGGGACAAATTTTTTGCGCACATGTCGATCTCCAGACTTTCTTATGCTGAGTTTCTACTGAGAATTTACTTACAAATGTCTCTGTATCCGATCATTTTTTATTTTTATTTTAAAAGACTTATTTATTTATTTATTTATTTATTAATCATGCTATATTTTAAAATATTACAAATATTTCTAAATATTTTGTTTTTTAAAACAAAATTATCTAATAATATAAATAAAATGAAATAAATAACTCGTTAGCATATATATATACACTCGTTCCTCAAAATAATAAAATTAATTTATATCTGATTTAAAAATTTTGACCTGACTAATAAAATAAAAAAATTATTTTTATTTTTTATTTAACAGTAAAAGCAATATGAATTAATTATGATGTTAATAGCCAAGTAATGGGTCAGTTAGAGTTTGACTGAAACTGACCCGCTGAACAAAGCAGGTTATGCAGAAGATCATGACCTATTTGACCATGTTAAGACCTATTTGAGCCAAACCTACTCTGGAGAGAGTCGAGACTTCTCTCCATGCGTCCATAAAACAATCCAAACACAAAAGGAAAGCAATGTTTCAGCACTAGATGGCGGGTTTGAACTGGATGACCCAAATAAAAAGCCCAGAAAGTTAAAGACTCAGGCTTCATTTGGGACGATTTTTTTTGTTGCTTCTTAAAGCAACTTCTTAGTATAAAAATTAAAAAAATTTCTACTAAAAAGCTGCTTTAAGAAGCAGAAAGAAAATCATCCCGAACGAAGCCTCAGAAGCAACTAAATAAAACCAACAACAGGTTGTTTTAGACTTCATTTGAAATGACTTTATTCCTGCTTCTTAAAGCAACTTTTTAGTACAAAAATTAAAATTTTTTACCTAGAAAGTCATTTTAAGAAGCAGTAAGAAAGCCGTCCCAAATGAAACCTTGGGACGGCTTTCTTACTGCTTCTAAAATCAATTTTTTATTTTAAACCAAAAATATGTTTTAAAAAGCAATAAAAAAATCATCTCGAAACCTTAATCATCATGAAAGCTTATATAAATTAGATATCGAAGCACCTATGAGGAGAAAATTTTTACAATTTGTGATTTTCCTTCACAATAATTAATTTGCACAGCTTGGCATCCAGAATTGTAAGAATCTGTCAAAAAAAAAATCAAAAGACTAAAACCATGTACTTCAAAGTTTTTGGTACATCAAAGCAAGCACACAATGAATTCCTTTGGGCCTTATTTGCTTCAAAAATAATAAATATAGCTTCTAGTTGAGGCTTAACCACAGTGATTGATTCTAGCTTAACTGGCTTTTTAGTTATCTCCAATTGAGTTCAGTGTGGATTTGCCTGATTGCACCAGCAAGCTGAGATTTGTCAAGAAGAAGAGTTAAGACATTTTCTTCTACCTCTTCAGGAATCTAAACAACAAAATTTCACAAATTAATTGTAGTTACACGGTGACCAAGATCGATCCATTTCTATCTTGGCTGGAGTGGTGAGGCAGACTTACTATATATGATATTACATTTGGCAAAAGAAGGATAGAAGGCAAGATTATACATGACTAGATACAATATGCAGGAAGACAAAAACCTCTTTTTTAAATATTTGGCTGGCTTGTCAGGCTCGAGGAAGATTTCTTCAAATTCTAGAGCATCTCCAACAGCTCGCCAAATTGCTGAATCAGCTTTTGACTGATAGATGGCATTGGATGGATGAGCAGCTTCGTGGAGAATCAGGCTTTCTTTGGAACGATTTTTTTATTGCTTCTTAAAGCAGCTTTCTAGTATAAAAATTTTAATTTTTAAACTAAAAAACTGTTTTAAGAAGCATTAAGAAAACCGTTTCAAAAGAAATCTTAGCATAAGGTTTCAAGCAATGATGCACCTCACGAGTCATTCCAATTATCATCATCATCTTCATCACTTCCCGCACAAGCCTGTTCAGAATTAAAATTTTGATATAATATAATAAAAAATGTGAGGGAAAAAGGACATTAATATCTTAAGACAAACCTGCCGGATTGCATTTGCTTTTTCTAGAATTGCAGCAACCTTCAGGTTTGTTGAAGGAGCTTTGGCCATGTTGGCCTTTGAAGTTGCTGGCTTCAGGTTGAGGGACTAGCAAAGAAAAAATGATAATTAAGCTACTGCTGTGATAAAGCAAGAAAAGAAATTTCTATAATCATTTGAACTGACCTTAGTTTTTATCTGCTCAAGCAAATGGTTCTTTTCATCTTCCTTTGGTTTCATTAATGCCCGATCAAGTTCTGATACCTTCCTCAACTGTACGAAGGCAATAATCTCACAATCAAATTCTTTTATTTCTAGCAGTCAAATAAGGCTTCATTTGGGACTGCTTTCTAAAATAGATTTTTAGTAGAAAAATTTTAATTTTTATACTGAAAAGCTGTTTTAGGAAGCAATAAAAAAGCCATCTCAAACGAAAATCATCATTACCGTGCTTTTATCATGAGCGGCAACAGCCTCCATGAGAGGATCTCTGGGCCTGTTTAGAATGGAATGCTGTTTTTCACTTGGTTTGTCACCTTCCATATCTTGTAACATATCATACATAGCAGATGAACTTCCTTCCCTTAAAAACATATGATAAGCATAGTGAGGAATGCTCTGAAGTGCAACTGGAAATGGTGATGACAAATTTTGATAATCTCCATAGCCATATTGATACATAGCATCTCCTGCAGTTGGCATGAACGTGAATGAGCTAAAAGGTGGATTTGCATCTCTATCAATAACAGGGGCTTCTAGTGATCTTTCCAACTCCAAGCCTGGTAACAACTTGACCAGCTTTGGCCTCCTTTCTTTTATAGACTGAGGGTTGCCTAGTACCAAAAGGTCCTGATCTTGGGGAATCACATCCTTGAGCGATAGAGCATCAGTGATTGGGTTCTCTTCATTTATTGTGATATTACCATGTGAATGCTTTTCATCTTCTTTAGATGAAGCCAACAAGGAAAGGCCTGCATTCTGAAAACTCTCTTCAAAAGCTAAAGGTGTCACAAAGGAGCCTGCATGGTGATTCATTTTTTCTCTGGAACCTGGAAAAGGATTTATATGCATTTTCATCACAGGTTGAGGTTCAAATGTAATTAGAGATCCCAGTTGAGGTTTACCCATTCTCCACTGCATAGGGGGAAGTGGTGGTAAGGGAGGTGTTTCTTCAATGTCTTCTTGTATTGGGAAGCTGCAGATCGTTTCGTCTGTCGATGCGTTGAGAGTTTCCTGGATGCCAAATGTAGATCCTGAAGCCAAAGCTTCAGAATCCATAGAGCTCCCAGGGTATTCAGAAACACCTTCAAATGAAACAGATATATGTGTCTCTTTTTGTTCATGATCAGACGCCTTTGATGAAGGAATGCTCAACTCATTCATGCATTTATGCTTAAGCAAAGTCTCAGGGATTGGTTCTGAAAATAACCCTTCATGTTCCAAGTTATACGAGATAGTAGTAGGTTCATCGGAGGAAACTTCATCCAATTGTATGGAAGAAGGTTCAATATTCTCCAGCACTCTATATAAAGGTTCTGTAGTTGGTTCATCACCTGCTTGGGATACAGAAGCTTTCTCAGATGGGACTTCTAGACTTTCTGCCTCAGCCTGAAAATGCTGCATGGAAGAATCTGAATCTGAATGTTGCTCATCTTCTCTGGAGGATTTCAAACTCTCTTCCATGTAAATATCATCAAAATACTGATCATTTAACTTAACATATGTCAAGTTGGACAAATTTTGATCTTGTAATTGAGAGCTTGAAACTATACCGACAGCATTCTGGTCTGCATTCTCACAAAGAGGTGCAAGCAACTTGTTTTCAAAATTCAAGGATGTTAAGTCACTTGCAATAGATGGCTCTTGAATCTCGGGTTTACGCTGATTCAAGTAAACATCCTCAGATACTGAATCTTCTTGAATGTGTACATCAAAGCTGTATAAATTTGAAGATTCTGACGAGCATAGAATCCCTCCATCAGTCCCATCTTGAGTGACAATGCTAAATTTTGAATCAGAATTTGCACCATTCAAATTTTCAAGCACTGGCTTATTGGGATTCAAGTCAGCATCCTCAGAAACTGGATCTTCTTGAAACTGCACATCAAAGTTGCATACATTTGAAGATTGTAACAGGGAAAGAACCTCACCATCAGCAGTATCATCTTTAATGATAACATTCTCAGATTTTGAATCAGAATGTTGGTCATTTTCTCTCGAGCATAATTTAACCTCATTAACATCAACTAATTTAGCTTCAGATGAGTTTGACAAGTCTAGAGTAGATGAAGGCCTTCTCGATACTGAATTAAAAAACATTTCTATTTCCTCGTTCTCAGTAAACAACAAATAAGATTTGTTTTCAGACTGCAAAGATGTAGAATCACTTGTAATGTATGGCTCTTTGACATCAGAATAAGGCTGATGCAGCGTATCATCCTCTGAAAGTGGATCTTCTTGTAACAGAACATCAAAAGTGGTTACTTTTGTAGATTCTTGCACATTTAGAACCTGGTCATTTATACTGTCTTTAGTGATACCATTCCCAGTCACTGAATTATTTTTGCTGTCACCAAGCAGCAGCACATCATGCTGAGCACTAAGCTTAGTAGAATCATTTGCGAATTCCAATCCATCACAAACACGTTCTTCTCCATTTGTCTCCAACAACTCTGATTCTTCACGGTGCAATTGATTGGCATCAGGATCTTCTCTGCAACTAGATGGCAGGGTTTTTAGCATAACCACGCTGGAAGATTCCTGTGGCTCATCTACAGCAGGAAAATGCTCTATCTCATATGGAATGGTTGGTGAGACATGCACAAATTCCTCCTGAGTTGCAGAAATATTCCCATTTTCATTAGCAAAACTTTCATATTTCAGAATGGAAGAAACAATCCCAAGAGCAAAGTCAGAACTTTTTGGTGATAGATTCTCAACAGAGTTGGCTTCATTGTCTTTTTCCACTGAATCGTGCAAAGAATCTTTACCAGAAACGGAACAAACCTCCATAAGAGAACTTTCTGCTTGGGTTTGTGGAGATTCGGATGTCTCCAATGTGTTGATCAAATCATTAGACATTTTTTTTTCAGTATAACCTGATAATAGACCTGTCCCTGAGTTATTTCGGCTTCCATGAGGGGAATCTCTTTCATCAGATATGTATGCTAAATTATCATCGACATTTTCAGAGGTTTGAGTGGATCCATAAGATCCACGGTCAATACTTCCTACTAAATGTAGTTTATCTGACCCAGCAGGGAATAGAACGCTAGAGTTTAACTGCTTGCTTTCTTCAAATTTGCCCTCCATGTAATTTGGGGAAATTTTCATGGCTAAACCTTCTGACTGAATATCAATCTCCAAATCATAAGACGAATCTTGAGATTCCAGAACAGTAGAAGCCATGGGTATAGTTGGCAAGGAACTTCCAGATATATAATCATTTTTATCTGGCTCCAACACCTCTAATGGCTTTCCTATCCCATCATCAACCAAGGTTGATAAATCTTTGGAACATTCAGCAAGAGCCTTCTCAGGTAAAATACCATGTTCAGTTTCTGATGAAGCGCACTGCATATATCCTTCATCTGTTATATTTAGTGAAATTCTGTCTTCACTATATTCTACGGGATTCATTTCTTCAAAAATATCAGTAGGAATCTCAGCACGTTCTTTAAATGTGGGAAAAACCACAGTATGATTTGTTTGCCAAGAAGGAGAAGAGGAATCAACGTGTTCATCAATTACAGGAGCATTTTTTGTACTTCCAGAAATAGCTTCATCTGAATGAAGAGCAAGTGATTGTGCTTCCTCCACATTAGGTTGGGTCTTTAAATCTGAATCTGTTACGCAATAACTAGTGAAAGCTTCTCTACTTATAGGAACAACCATGGCAGCATTGGGTTGTTTCTGATAGCACGTTTCATTAGATGTCAAATAGGCTGATGAAACTAATGTTATATCTTCACTCATCCTTTCTACTTTTCCTGTTTCCCCATGGTTAATTTCTAAACTAGAAGTTTCTTCAAAAATAGTTCCCACCTTAAGTTGTTGATCAGGTAACTCAACCAAAACAGTTGACTGTGACAGACTATCCTTCATTTTTTCTAAACTCACTGATGTATCAAAGTTTCCAACAATACCCGATCTACAAGATCGAGGTTGCAGTTCAAGTTGTCCATTGATATTAGAATGCGTCTCTGAAGAATTAAGTTTGAAGAGACTTGGATCTGATTTAGCTCTGCTCTCAGGATCTGTTTCTATTTCAGATTCTATGATGTTCAAGGCGTCAACATAATTTTCCAACTCACTCCCAATATCATCAGACCTGTAACTATCATGATCATCATCTGTTAGGAATCCAGAAACAGCCAAATTGTTGTTCTGCCCTGCTAGCTGCTGGAGTGGAGGATTCATATCAATTTCATCGGAACTAATGTCAAAAGCATGGATGTTTACTTCATTTTCAAGTTCCATCAACAATGCTTCTTTAGCATTTTGAGAATTTGGATAGACTTTTTGTGAAACACGAGATGATACAGACAGAGTTTCTAAAAAATCCCCTCTTTTTGGATTCTGCACTTTTCCAGTCACTTCTTTAAGGGACTGGGGAAAAAATTCTTGTCTGACCAGTAAAGGATTATTTACGCCGCCATTTAGAACTTTCCCCATTTCTGGAGCCCCATCTATAATTTTATTATTGGGGCAACCACGTAACGAGCTTTTGGAATCATTTTGCTCAAATGATTCTTCTTTAAGAAAACCATCCATATAGCTTTTTCTACTGCTTACATCTGAAACTCTCAATTTCCTGTGTTTCAACTTCACAATCTTTGCTGGAAATTTCCCAGGCGCTGGTTCAGAAGCTGTAAATTGAAAGCTGTAGCAACAAAAAAACAGCTATTATCAATTTACAAAATAAAATGACTGTTCCATGGTTGCTTCACCACTGAAAAAAGAACTTAACTTACTAGTCTATAATTGGTGCAAAGAATGACGCCGTTGTCTCACCACTTCTCCAATAAGATCCTTTCTTCTGCAAGAAAAATAAAATCAGAGGTACAGTTGATTATTAACTTCAAAAACCAAATAATTCACAGGACCTCTAGTCAATGATTTCATTAAACCTTCAAATAAACACCAACCTAGGATAGCTGCAAACATGATCATAGCATATAGCATGGGCAAATAAAAGGCCAGAAAAAAAGGAATTAAGAGAAACTGTTCAAGTTTATGTGCCAACCTTAAGAAATGAACTAATTACCTTGGGTTTTCGAGCTCTCTTCTCTCTTTGTGCTTCTTCCATCATCTCCGAGAAGGCTGACGCTGTCTTAAAGAAGGAAGGATTAGAGTACCTCGTCAAGCATGCTCCAGCACCAGCAACATCAAACCTAAAGTAACATGCAAGCACTTATAATATAACAAAAGAGGGAAAAAATGCATATATATTCCAAAAAAGAATAATAAGTAGCAGGAAAATATATGGTAGAATAACTGACTTGTCTAGCATGAATAGCCGTGGAGGACCACGGCATTCTTCATATGAGTCTAATATAAAACGAGGCATATCTCCTTGAACGACTAAATTCTGTTCAACTCTAAGATTTGCATGCCAATCGATACCTAAGAAATTACATATTACAACAAACGGATTAGTAAATGTGAGAAAGCATGCATTGGTATATGTACAGATTTGAGCTATGATTTTTCACCTGCACTGTAAGCACAATGTGAATGATCAGTTTCAGAGAGAATGGCTTTCTCTATTGATGGAAAATCTGCTTCCAGCTGTAGAACACGCAGCATCAGACTATGCCCTCTAGCAGAAGTTGCCATCACTTCTTCATGTAAGTTATGAAATACCTCCGCAGCAAACCTGTAGCAAAAACCATCCTGTCAGTTAGGGAAAATCCCTTTATGGTTAAAATAACAAAAGAAAAATTATCATTAAAATATCATAAAAATATATATATGAAAAACAGAGAACTCCATATGATAGATAACATAAAGAAAGTTTAACAGCAGATGACAGTTTAAGAAGAATGCAGATAAATGCTTACGCAGCACAAAATTCAAATTGCACAAAAAGACCTTCTCTTACGGTAGATTTTACTTAAAATTATAACGACATAAATCTTTCAAAAGCATTGGATTAAAAGAAAAAAGTAAAATTAGATCATGCAACACAACCGTCTGATAAGGCACTTAGCACTAGTTAGAGAAAGAAGTTATTTCAAAAAAAAAAAAAAAAAAGAAGTTACTTCATAGGAGCTTTATGCTTCATAATTGTTTAGGAGCTGTAGAAGAATAAGGTAAGTATAGAACAAACCTAATATGGAAAGAAAAGTGTATCAAAGAGCAAAATTCATTTTAATTATGAATTCCCTCAAGATCATCAACTAGTTTCTGAATTAAAACTGAAATTCTAGACATTTCTGAATTAAAACATCCAAAGGAAGATCATCATCTAGTTCATTTGTAAAAAAAATAAGAAACTAAAATTCCCTCGAAAATGGAGAATCAGATTGCAGATGATGAGATAGCAGATTATGAAACATTACATAGGGCAAGTTTGCAGGAAAAACATATTATTTTACTAAAGGTCAGTTATAAGGTATTCAAAGATGCAGCCCTCTTACATAACGGCATGCTACATCCCACAAAGGCAAATGAAAATGTTCAAAATTCAAATGATGCATTATAAGTTGTTTTATGATGTACAGCCGGTTCACAAGGAACCGGCAGAACCGGCCAAAAGGCCGGTTCAGGTTTACAGGAGGCGGACAGTCCGCCTCCCATCTTCTGGCCTGCCCACATGAGGGCCCCACTTAATGCAATTTTCAAATTGGGTTGGGCGGCTAGGCAATGGGAGGGAAAATCAATTAGGAAATATTTTGTATTAAGTGAGAGGAGGGAGTTTAAGGGAGATTATGTTTTGTTTGATTGCAAATTAGGGTTTTCTTGGAGGCTTGGGCTCTAGAACGGATTCTAGAGATTGGGAGAGTGCGATCCTCCTCTCGAATAGAGGATCTTTGTATCTTTGCAAGTTTTCTTTCATCTACTAGTAAAGTACAATTGTTTGGGCGAGTTTTTCTCCATTTTTCTCTCCGGTTTTCTCTGTTTTGGTCCAGATTTTACTATTTTCCTGTTGTAAACAGCAGGAGTTATCACGAATTGCTACTTGCTGTTAATTCTCCTCCTCGGTAACCCATTGATCGCAAAGTACTCTCCACTTGTAGATCCAGCCATGGCGTCCTCGCCCTCAAAGATGGGCATCTTCAATCCTCACCTGGGTCTTCCCAGTTTCCCTCGCTCCTCCATGACCTCCCATTCCCGAGGGGGAAAAGCTCCCAGTGGTCATGAACTTCCTCCACCGATCATTACCCCTGCCCTTCCTCATACTCTTCCTCCGTCTCTCCTCCTCAGCACTCGACGGTAAAACTCATCCCTTCTCCCAAAAATTCAGCACCCCTTCTTTCATAGCCATGCTCATCTCCTCCTAGAAAGTGGTTCTAGCGGAGGCATCTGTCATTCCATCAAGGATCTCCACTTCGGTAGTCTCCCTCCCCTCAATGGGTTCGGGTTCCGTTTCTCCATTGTCGCTAGTGCTCCCTTGCTTCTGCTGTCGTCGGGTTTGGTTTGCCTCAAACATCTTCTAATCATTTCTTCTAATGTCGTGAACCTTCCATCCATCTTTTCATGGATGGACGCTAATTGATTTTGAAATCAACGGTTCTTTCTTCCAAATCGGTCTTCAGTTGGCGATTTCACCCTCCAGAACTTCTACTTTTCGTCCGGCCATTCTCTTCCACGGTAAACCGAGAATTTCCCTTGCGGAAGAGGTTTCCTTGTTGAAATTTCTTAATTTCAGCCGCCGATGGTCTCAAGATGATGCTCTGATACCAATTTGATAGGAAATATTTGATTTCAAGTAGTTCCTAACCAAAGTCTGAATCAA